TTATCTAAGCTACTTACTTAATGCTTGGTAATAGGGATTGTCATGCTCAATTTTACCCAAATATATTCCAATGTCATTTACTCTTGTAATCTACACTTCCTCCAGTGGTGAATGGGAGTTTCCATTCCTCTACAAATTCTCCAAAATTTGATGTTGTTTGATTCTTTAAAGGTATTTTTACCAATATGATGGGTATGAAACTGTGTTCTATTTTGGTTTTAATTTGCATTTTTTCTGATTACTAATGATATGGAATATCTTTTCATGTTTATTATTCATATTTCTCTCTTCTTTGAAATTCTGCTCAGGTCTTCTGCCCATTTTGTCATATTAGTTGGTTATGTAAACTTTTTTGATATTAATCCTTGGTTGTTTTGGGGATTTGTATAGGGATACATCTTTTAGGGTGGGGCACCATTCAGCCTTTATCAGGTTGAAGACGTTCCCTTTTGTATCTATTTTGTTGGGTGTTTCTTACCCTGGAAAGGTGCTGGGTTTTGTCAAGCTTTTTCTGCATCTATCAAAATGGTCAGTTTTGTTTTTCTTTTATTCTATTAATATGGTATATTGGTTCAGTTGATTATCAGTTATTAATCCAACCATGCATTCCTGGGATGAATTCCACTTGGTCATAGTATATAATCCTTTTTATATATTGCTGGTTTTGATTTTTCTAATATTTTGTTGAAGACTTTTACATCCATATTTATTTAAAAATATATTAGTCTATACGGTTCTTTTCTTGTGATATCTTTGTCTGATTTAAGTATCATCAAAGTTACATTGTCCTCATAGAATGAGTTGAGTAGTGTCCTATCCTATTTTATCTTTTTGAGGAGTCTGTTAAGACTTCATATCAATCGTTTAAATATTTGGTAGACTTTACCACTGAAGCCATCTGGTGCTCACTTTTCTTTGAGGAAAGTTTTAAAATTTCTAATTAAATTTCTTGTTATAGGTCTGTTCAGATTTTCTGTTTCTTCCTGTGTCAGTTTTGGTAGTTTGTATCTTTCCAGGACTTTGTTAACTTCATACTATCATTTGTAAATTCTATAAAGCTTAAAGTTGTTTACATTATAATCTGTTATATTTCTCTGTGAGAGTTATATTCCTTCTTTCTCTTTTTTATTTTTATAATTTGAGTTTTTTGTTCAGTATAGCTAAGAGTTTGACATTTTCTTGACCTTTTCAAAGACGGAACCTTTTTGGTGTTACTGGTTTTCTCTATTGGTTTTCTAGCCTATAATGTATTATTTTCTGTCCTAATCTTTATTATTGCCTTTATTCTTTTTTTTGTATATTTAATATCTTCAACTTACTGCTATTTTTGATATAGTTAAATTTATATCTGCTACTTTACTATTTTTAAAATATCTCATCTTTTTGTTACTGTATTCCTTTTTATTGCTTTTTGGTATTAAATAAATATTTTCTAGTATAATATTTTAAAATACAGTTATTTTAGTTACTTCCTTAGCATTTGTTCTAGAGCTTAACATATATATCTCAACTTAGAATGTAATTCAGATTTATACTAACTTGATTTCAGTGAAATAGAGAAACATGACTCTCATATAAAGGTCTATTTCCTCTTCCCTCTATTTTCAGGGTATTATATATACATATAAGACATCTATATATGTTGCAAACTCAACAATTTATTTTTATACTTATTAGTTTATATAATTTTAAGTTGTTTAAAGAGACCAAGAGTAGAAAGGAGAGCAAATATATATGTTATGGCAACCTTGTTATTGAATATTTTTGTGTGTTTTTTTTAATCTTTTGTTTTTCTTGACATGAATTACTATTGGACATCATTTTCTTACTTTAACAGGCTTATACTTCTGTCCATCCTTTTGAGTTCTTATTGTCAAATACAGGAGTAGGCAAAAGTAGATTTACAGTTCATATGGAGACAGACATGCAGGTTATAGTATTTCAATAGCCTTATTAACCTGAGAATGTCACCGCATCTGTAAACCCCCATTTGCCCACTCCTGGCATACTACATTTCTTTCTATATATTATAAGCCCAATGAACCAATGATATATGTCCTGTTTTATCACAGTTGCTTTTCAAATTTATTAAGAAAAGAAAGGAGAAGAAACATGTATTCACACTTGGTTTTATAATTCTGTCAGTGCCTTTGCCAGCACTCTGGATTGGAATGATTGAAGACTGAGCAACTTCCTTTAGTATCTTGTGAGGCAGAAATATTTTTTGAGTTTGTGAATGCATACGTAACATATTTCTAACATTTACAGTAGCTGCTTTAAAGTCATTTTTGCTTACCTAACATCTGGGCCCTCTCAAAGGCACCTCTGCTTTCTCTTTTCTTGCATATGGGTCACGCTTTCCTACTTTGTTACACGTCATAATTTAACCCAGATCCTGATTTCGCTGCTCTCTTGGACTGGTATAATTTCATTTGTTCAGTAACATAGCTGAGCTCTTTAGTGAAGTCTCTTTCCTCCTCCCGATGCATCCTCTGGTGTTGCTCCTCGGAGTAGGCAACCTGGGGACACACAGTCACCCTGGGATGGCTGTACATTTAGCAGAGCTCTTTGACTTTTTCTTCTGACCCCGCCGCCTCTGCTTGTATTACATCAGCCAGGCAGCCCCCACTAATTGCTGACTGATTGCTCTATTATTTTCAACAATGCTTTGGGGCACGTCTTGCTCCACAGTCTGTTCAGATTCAATTTCAGTCCTTTTTCAGGGTTAGTCTTTGAGGACAGTCTTCGAGTTTCTGACCCCTCTCAGCTCTTACTAGCTGTTATTTTCCATAGGCTTATTCTGGTAAACTTTTATCTGGTTGTTGCTTGAGCTTTGGTTCTCATGGAGCTATCTCTTAATTGCTTACAACTAAAACCTCCATTGTTTTTGAGAGTTCCCATAAGGCTTGAGGCCTCCCACCCAGTTCCATATAAAGTCAGTTTTCTTGGAAGAGCTTTGGAACTCTTCTTTCTTAGCCTACCTCTCCCTATGGGGGAAAACTCAGTGTTTGGACTTGTAGGTGGGATTACTGTATTTTGTCGTATATAATGCGTGCCCACATTTTTAGCCCAAACTTTCAGGGGGAAAAAAAAAGTCTTTCATTTTAATTTTTAAATTCAATTATTTATTTATTTATATTTAGATACTTGTTTTTTGTATTATGAAAGAATTTCGGCATTTATTTTTGAACATACTATGGTACAAGAAATTATATGTTAACAAATAATTACAAAGCACAAGAACAGATACAAGGTATTTCAGGCACTACCCATGCATAATGCACATCTTTATTTTTCCCTCAAACATTTGGGCAAAAAGGTGTGTACTATACACGGCAAAATACTGTCTAAGTAGCCTGCTCCTCCTGAAGGACCCCACTGCCTTCAGTGCAGGGCACTGGATGGGGGCGGTAGCACTTGCTCTCTGCAACTTGCCTCTTTTGGCAAGGAAACTCTGCCCAGTGAGCGAGGTAAAATGAGGTGAAGACTGTTTGGCCCTTGTGCTCTTAGCCTTCTTGGCTCAGTGTTTAGCTTCCACCCTGTGAGTTAGAGGGTAAGCACTCAGACTTCTCATGCTTTCTCCTTGAATAGAACTTCTGACCCCCAGAACTGGGGGCATGAGAAGTATTCGCAGCTTCCTGCTCCTGGTTAGATTTCAGTGGCCTGGACCAGGAGCTGAGGGGTGAAGGAATTCTCGTTCTTGGCTTGATACATGCACTGGGGTGAACTTCCGTGTTGCTGAACTGGGTGTATGGGGGACCAGTAGGGAGGGAGGATGAAAGCAGGTAATGGGATAGATATCATGGACTGTTAATGTTCTTACTAAAATTTAGTAGATAATCTGAGTAAATATTTATGGTTGCTCTTAGTAAAAAATATTTGGATCCTAAATCATTGTTTTTTCAATAATTTTTACCAATTATAGTTCTTTCCCTGGGGAGAGGTTTGTTGATCTCCTTACAGTGCCATTCTGGAAGTCAGCTCCATATTCTTTAAGCATTAATTGGTATTGTAATCCATGGTTTTTGAGTTACCATATATACTGTACTAATTATATACATACTATGTTTATATTCTGATTCTTTGTTAGTACCAGGGATTTATTTAGAGTATTTATAAAACATTGATGTATATTGTCATGCTCCTTTATCATATATCAGTATATTCAGGTGAAATTGCTTGTGAGTATATATTGGTAGTATTTTTTCTCACACATTAATTAATTAAAAGAATATTTATATTATTTTTAATGTTTCTCAAAAATGCATTGTGATGGTCAGTTATACACAACATATGCATGCCTCTCAAAAATGTTTTTGAGCAACAGAATGTACAAATGAATACAAACTGTGTGATTCCATTTTGTAAAGTACAAAGACAGCAATACAAATCTTTGCTATTGAGATCAGAATAGTGGTAGTATGTATATTTTTAAAGCTGAGTCCTGATTGCTTAGTTATGTTCATCCTGTGAGAATTCATTGAATCTTAGACTTATGATAAATGCACTTTTCTGTATGTTTTATTATACTTAAAAAGTTAAAAGATATGTTATGGGATCCATATGAGTTATATAGTTTTAACTGAATATAGTTCCAAGTAAATTTATTATATTTAATTTTTTATTTATTTTGGTATGTAAAGCTGATGATATTGGTCCTCTAGTTTTAAGAATAATTATTTCATACTTTTATAGATAAAAACAAAATTCAAAATATAAATTATTATAAAAGCATTAACAATTATGTTTAATATTGCGCTTCCTCAAAGCACTTTAAGGTACTATGAATGTGGAAATATTTTTCTAAAAATATGAAGTTTAAGGCAATATATATTTTTAAAAATATTGAAGTTTAGAAGATGTTTATGTTAAAAATTAAGCATGTAATTTCACAATTCCAAGGAAAATTCTATATGCAAATTAGATCCTTTATATTATATATATAAAATTAGGGAGATCTTTTTATCTTTTGTAATACATTTTTAAATTTTATCCTGTAGGACTATTTTGAAAGAAAGTGGGTTTGCCAGATACCTTCATTCAGCTGTTCTTATCAATGGAGCTATGCTTATTTTTGGAGGAAATACCCATAATGACACATCCTTGAGTAACGGTGCAAAATGTTTTTCTGCCGATTTCCTGGCATATGACATAGGTATGTATCTGTTAGGACTGTACAAAGTAGGAAATATCAGAAATTTTTCATGTAGAGGTTCTCAAATACATTACTTGACAGCATGTGTATATATCATTTTAGAGAGATAAATTCAGTGACACATTATGAGTGGAATTCTCTCTAAAGTCAGCATAGTAGGAGTATAAATCCAGGTGAAGAGCTGAACTTGGGCGAATATGTGGTGAAGACAGGGAGAAATCTGGATTTGGACGTCCTTTTCGAAGGCTTTTGTATAGTCTATCCCTACCTGAGTGCTCTATCAGTCTATTTTGTCTGACTGTTACCATTAGTTTTGATAGCGGGTAGATATAGAGCACTATCAAATTATGTAAATTATAAATAGCAACACAAACATATTAGATACAGTGTGGATGAGTAAAGATGCATTTAAACTAAACTCACCAGATATATATATATATATACACACACACACACACATACTTACTTGATATAGAAAGCTAATAGAATTAGAGAAAAGGATATAGAGACAGTGGAGTAAAAGAAGTAAGATTTGGGACAAAATGAAAACCGAGAACTAGGACTGGAAGTGATTAAATAATCTTTTGCAGAGAACCAAAATACAGTGCATTGATACAGTTTGATTTTAATTATGCTACCTATAGTCCTATCACTTTCTTAATGTTAAATGAATATATTTATTGAAGTACTAAATTTAGCTATGCAATAGACTTATAGTGAAAATATTTTTCTCTGTATGTTATAATTTAGATAAAACCTAGCTACATTTAAAATCTATTTAGTAGTACTTTAGAGCACCTTTTATTGATAATGTAAAGTAATATACCAATTTGAAGCTATTAGGAATCATTTTGATAAATAAAAATAAAAGAGACCAAAGAATAATAACACATTGAATTGATGTAAGAAGTGGACTTCTGCTTTTCAATACCAAAAAGGCACATAATCTACTTAGGAAAATTATTTCAAGTGGTAGCATATAAAGAAAATTATGACTTTTAATAAGCACTTTGATTTTTATACTATTAGAAATTTGTTGGGAAGGAAATTCCTAGTAATAAAGTTACGCATGCATTTTAACTCTAAGCTACAAGTGTCTGTCTGTGAGTCCTCCTCAAAAAAGAATTCACTGTCTTTAGGATTTTTAGATCCTAAATAATTAAATATTTACTTTCTGAAATAATAATTTGAAGGGATCATTCATGATGAAAATGGGGTTGTCTTGGCTTTTAGAAGGCTTATAAATCAGTGACTGAGATCCAGGAAAAATGGATCACATGAAATACTGAAGGAGGCTGGTTGATGAGCGTCCACAGCCAGGCAGGGCTGTCCACATTTTATTTTTGTCTTTGGTGATGAGGCAGTAGGTTTAGTTCTCTGGAGGCAGATGAAAGTTTTGTCTGTTTTTCTTATAAGAAAAAAAAACCTCTGGAAAAGTGTAGAATTTTGTTGTTACTGTTAAAAATCAATAAAGTGAGAGATTTTTGAACTTTAATTTTTGCAGAAGATCCTTCCAGGAGTTTGCACCCAATTACTGTAATTTAATTAAGAAATTAATGTTGAGATATTTTCTGCAGCTTTCATATGGGGAATTTATTTTTATTTCTTGCCTATACATGATGATCATATTTAAGGTTTTATGTATCAAAAAACTTGCTGAGGTGAGAAGACATTAGAGGTGTTAGTTTCAGAGAGAGAGAGAGAGAGAAAGAGAGAGAGAGAGAGAGATCAGATTATCTTTATTCTAATTACTCTTTACTAAGTGTCTTCTGAGAACTAGCTACTATGCTAAGGGCTAAGGGTTTTATATACAATATCTGTAATCTCTCAAATAACCTTGTAATGAGCTGTTAATACACTTATTTCCAGAATATTAAGCAGAAGAGTGTGAAAGAAACTTGCCTAGAGCTTTGAGGGTAGCAAGCCTTGGATCTAGCTTTTCTAACTTCTAAATCTGGTAGTAGACTTTCCACTTGAAGACACTGTGCTGTTTGGTTGGGTCCAATGTATGTTCTTAATTTTGGCAACAAATTATCAGACATTATGTTTAATGGTGTTTCTTGATGCTGTGGAAAGATAAAAGCAAATATCAGTTTCATTTTTCAAGCAGAGGTTTAGATTGAAGGAAGAATAACATTTTAAATAGCCTTATATTTTAACAGGGTTTTTGGTTTTTGCCTTATCTAATACTAACATCAGAAACATAATACAGCCATATGATTCAACATAGGATACATGTTTTTCCATTTTATCTCATTAGATTACTTCAGTTCCCAATAAATTTCCCTCTAAAATCTGTTTTTATTCTTCTTAGTTTTGTAGCATTAAATGTTGGAATATTGCCCTGGAAAAGTATTTTTCATATTTTGGGAAATGCCATGCAAAATAATTGTTTTCCTCCTGCAGTATATGTTGTGGAAATAAAACGCAATCATTACATAATGAGCCAACCATAAAATAGATATGTTTTGAAAAGTAAAAAAAGACCATGTTGCTAATTTTCCTCGATGGTACAGTGCCCTAGGACTTTCATGGCATATTTAATTGCAGTACACCTGAATGCTTCAGCGGATTGCCTTGTGTAACATCGTGTTTGAACAAATAGGAATATTTGTGCTGATACTGTTTTTTTAATTGCTATAAAATATACTGTTTTAACCTTACTGCAAGTAAATTTTTTGTAGCAGTATCATTAATCTTTGAGAATATAACCTTGCCTTCCTAGCTCTCATTATACATGGTAGATGTAGAGACACATCATGGTGACTTTCAAACACAGCTGTACGTTGGCATCCTTCTTGAAGGTTGTAGAGGAAAAAAATCTATGTGATTTGATTTTCTTAGATTAGCCACTGGACATCTGTGGTTTTTTAAAAAAATGACTTGAATGCAATTGGTACTAGAGCCATGGCTGGGGAATAAGACTGGATTGACTTTAACATATACGATGATGTATTACTTAATGTCCTAGTTTGTAAGTGTGTCTTGAAGTCAGATTTTAAAAATGAAAACTTTATTAATTTTTGTTATTGTTAGTGGTGTTACTATTGCACCTGATTCAAGACTAAAATGGGTCTTTCTGGTAAAGATAACCATCTAGAACATAATGAAGCTGAAGATACAATGGGAAAAACATACCTCATTGAGTTGATCTCATGTTATTAGACATATTAATACTTTGAAACTATTTGGCTGTGGAAAGTAAATATTGTCATAAAAGTTTTCCAGGGTGAGTGGGAAAAAAGAAACCAGGAAGTTTGTTTTTTGTATCTCTTAAGTTTCACAAGGTGATTTGACTAAGGATGCCAGTATTTACAAGTGAGAGAGTTTTATGAATTGAAACACCTTAAAGTCAAAGTGAATTTTGAGATATTTTAAATAATAAACTATGACCAAGTAGAATTTATTCTAGGAATTTAAGTGTGGTTGATTATCAGGGAATGTATCAATATAATTTATTATATAAAGACTGTTTATTGAAGTCAATTCATTATCAGGAAATGTATAAATATAATTTATTACATAAAGATTGCTTATTGAAATCCCTGTAAAATCATTTCAATTGAGAGACAAGTAGTGATGTCCACTTTGTCTGGCAGAGAGTAGAAACTAAAGAGATATTTATTGAATGAATGCCAGGAGACAACATTCTAAGAGAAGCTGTGGGTATGAACGAGATAACTAAGGAAAGTGTGTATCTTTAAGAATATTTGGGAAGTTTTGACCTAGTGCGGGAAAAACCTGGTGAAACACCAACATTAAGGGCTGGTGGAGAAAGTTTTTAGGCAACATCCAGAAATATGATTCCTATGACAAAGGTATTCAAATGGTTAAAAGGAGGTTTTCTCTATAGCGATCTACTTTTGAGTCTTGACACACAACTTTTGTGCTCTTTTTAGTGAATTTCAAGTATACAACTGAGACTGACTTATGAAATAGTACGTCAAGTGGGAAATTTAAAGAATTTTTCAAATGTGTCCTTAAAGCATTACAAATGTATATTTTCGTGAAAACGTGTATGTGTAGGAAAATTTGGAAATGAATGCACATTTATGTGTAATTGATAAAATAAACCAGTCTCTAAATGTCAGCATAGCTCCTAATGTAATTATGTGGCCCCTCATAGGTCAGGAGTCTGATGGCACAATATTCTGATTTCTGAAATTTGGGTTTGAGAAAATAGTAGTTCATTTTTTGATTTTATGTGTATCGAGCGTGCAGTTTGTAAATTAATATTTAGTATCTTATAGCACAGGTTTTAAAAATAAATCTATATTCCAGAGTGTATATTTTGCTTTGTTCTTTATTTCTGTGTAGCTTTTCTATTGTTATGGAATGGTATTTCTGTCAGCTTTTATGATGTCAATAACTGTGCAGATTTGCTTTAATTTGTCTAGCCTTAGACTTTTTATGAAGTGCTAATGAGTCAAGTGCTCTGGAAATATATTTTCTTCTTGGCAAAAACATAATTATTGATTGTTGTCAGATTAATAATGTAAGAGACTTTACAATGTAAGAATGGGAATAGACTCCATGTAAACAAATTATATTAATTTGGTATTGAGTTTTAAGGCATTTGATAACTTCTGCTTTCAGGAAAACCAATCCAAGTTTTATAGAGAATCCTGATCTAGAATGTGAAAACTCAACAACAGAATTTATCTAGCCTAACCTTCCGTTTAGTAGTTATTGAAAAAGCTGGAAGGAATAAGTGGAAAGTCTGTTTGTAACAACTGCCCATATCTTTTTCTCCCCCCATTCTGTTGAAAATTCCTGGCAGGTGGGCAAATAGCAGCAAGCATGAAATACTGTGCCTATAGAGGCAAAAATTGCTTACCTCAGCTAGCTATTCATAAGCTTGAAAGTTAAATTCTATTCTTCCTAAACAGTTTTATGAGTGAAAACAATTTGCCAGCTATTTTAAGAAACTGCAGAGGGAAATTTGCATTTATTGCATTGTATCAGTCAGTATGGGCCAGGTTATCCTGTGACAATGAACC